TGTATGAATCATATGGTGAAAAACTGACTTTGAAGAATAAATCTGTTCTTTTTTTCTTATAAAAAACTAAATAAAACTAAAATATTGGTGGTAATTTTTGACCGTGTAACTTTACAAACGGCACCCCATCCTCTGACGCGTTACATTTGACCCCTCACCGCTTTCCTGATCGCTGGTATCGGCCCAGTTCCCATGACAGAAGGGTCAAGGCCTGCTTGAGCCCACGATACAATTTTAGCCATGGGTTTCGCTCCCCGCCTCGCAGCCTCTGATTGGCTCATTAGAACGGTAGCTGCTGCTCCGTCATTTATACCTGCAGACAAAAATAAAATAACTTCACATTTGTTTTTTCTAACAGACACAGTGTTCTGACTTTATAAATGTTATTTATGGGCTACTCTTTGACCTGAGGCGTTCCCGGCGGTGACGGTCCCGCTGCCATCCTTGATGAAACAAGGTTTGAGTTTGGACATGCTCTCCATGTTGCTTCCATGTCGAGGGAACTCATCCACCTTCACCTCAACTGGACCTGACGGGAAGGAAAACATCCTTTTACACCACTGATGTAGCTAATAATAAGGAATAATCAGGAGCTAAGAAAGTCCGTACCTTTTCTGGACGGCACCGTGATGGGGACGATCTCCTGATCGAAGTGTCCTGCCTTCTGTGCCGCCTCGGTTCTGTTCTGGGATTTAACAGCAAACTGGTCCTGCTTCTCTCGACTGACGCCCCACTGTTTGGCCACATTCTCAGCTGACAGATTTATTTGAAAAAGAAACAATGATGGATACACCCCACACACAGAGTTGTAACGTAACTAAGTACAAATACTTCTTTACTGTACTTAAGTCAAACAGTTACTCTTACCTATAGGTCAGTTTAAATCGACTTTACATGAGCTTCATCTACCATGTTTTGTATATGTCATATCTTTTGTGATTTATTTTCTATATTATTTGGATATGTTGTTTGTATGATGTTTTGTTTCTTCTTTTATCTTTTCCTTATGGGTGTCTCTGGTACCCGCCAGGCTGACATTGCAAATAATCTACTTAAAGGCACAGTGTGTAGGATTTTGTCAATTCTTTTAGCCGAAATTGAGATAATCACTAATGACAATAATAAAAAACATGTCTAATCATTRCAGACAAAGACCTTGTTTTATTATTGTCATTAGTGATTATCTCAATTTCGGCTAAAAGAATTGACAAAATCCTACACACTGTGCCTTTAATGTTTTGCCTGATTAAATAAAGGTTAAAAAAATTCTGTGCTTTACTTGAGTAATTATTTTTCAGCCTACTTTTTACTTCTGCTTCTTACATTTTTACACAAGTATCTGCACTTTCTGCTTCTTACATTTTTAAAAAAGGCAAGAAGTACAAGGTTGGCGGACAGTGTCAGCCTATCATAGTGCGTCTAACGCAGGGAGTCCCGCCTCCCTTGCTCCACTCTGCAAGAAAATGGCAGCCAGTTTTTTTAATAACGCAGCTCAGCGTTGCGCACGAGCTGCGCATATATGAAACAGCTTTGTGGAATGAAAATTCACAGTAGTTAAACAGAGTTTAAACACAGCGTTTCAAAATCAACCAGCAATAGTTTTCTGACCACGTCAGCAGACAAAACAGCTTGTTTTTAAGCTTGCCGAGGTGAACACAGGCACGCGTTGGCTGAGAAGTTGAGCCTGCGCGCTCCCGTTTCCCCACTTGTGGCTCGGACTGTTGAGCTCCGAAGTCACAATCCTGCTTAAGTTTGCCTTAAAACACACACCGAGTTCTCAATGTGGCTAACGAAAATTTTTACAGGTAGACAGCGCTTAGCCGTCAATCTGGACGAATCGTTAGAGTTTTTCCATCCAGGAGTAGCCTGGAGCTACCTCTCGTTAGCTCAGAGTTGCTATTTTCACTCCTCACGTTAATTCATTCACAATGAACGTAGTGTAACACTAATAAGTGACCAACTTATTAAGATGTTAGCGGAGTGTGGTTATATAAAAATATGTGTATTGTAGGGACATGCGTACAAACACTATATATAACCAACCAGATTAATAAATACACCTGTTAAGATGTTAATAATACTGGCTTTAGGATCCTTAATAAAATGTCATACAGACAACATGCATGCAAATAAATCATAAACTGGCTTCCACAGCGCAGATTATGGATTTAAAAATAGCTTTCAGCTATAATGAGAGAGAAAAAGTGACTTGCTCTAGGTCTGACGTCATAACCTTGAACAGCCGTGAACAGCTTATTTTCGGCAATAATTAATGTTACAAACGTATTTATAACTTCAAAATGACAGAAAACGACAAAATCTGCAGTTTTTTGCTATTCTCTGAGCACCAATCAGCCATAAAAAGTCTTGTAATAACACTTTGTCTATTGCCAACATGAAGAAAAACAGTGTGTTTCCACAGTGCACAGAAGATATTTTCATGAAAAATATATTACGAGTTACCATTAAAAATGGACCTGTTCAGTGCCACAAATATGTAAGAGTGAGCTTAAGGTGAATTAAGCTTTTCCCACATCTCTCATACACAAGGTTATRAGGAAACTTTTACCAAGGTATTTCTCATTACTTGTTAATATCTTAATTGTGCGAAGTGAAAAGTGACACAATAAGATGAGACCACCAGCAGGCGTGCCGGGTCCCTGGCTGTGAAGTCTTCCCTAATTAGCTC